GGGGCGGAGTGGATGTGCAACAATACAAACATAAAAATAGCCTTTAAAATAAAACAAAATTCCAGCCGCTCTTTTGAGCAGTTTGTCACCAATGTACCGATCTGTTTTTTGGAGGTGATAACGGATCAAAATGGAGGATTGCTGGACTCAAGCAATTTTCAGTGTGGCTTTATGTCATTGAAGAGTTACTCTAGCCGAGAAGGCCAATCTAGCCATATTATGCTCTGATATTATTAGTTTTGTAGTACCTGCCTGCACTGCTTTCAAAATATCATCTAACGAGGGTACTCATATGTATACCTCTTCCTGAGCTATCTTACTTTCCCTGCCAGTCTTATATCCTCCTTTCTCTGTCTGCCCCCCTCTCCCCCCTCCCCATATCTCTCTCTCTCTCTCTCTCTCTCTCTCTCTCTCTCTCTCTCTCTCTCTCTCTCTCTCTCTCTCTCTCTCTCTCTCTCTCTCATATACATCTAACAATCTATTTGAGTACCCGTCTGTCTCTCTGTGAATTTTCCTCGCGTCGTTATCTTGTTTGTTTCAACATCTCTTTGTACAGCTGCTTATAATAAATATTATGAGTCTGAATACTGTATTACCAAGTGTAGACAATATTGTATAGGGATAATAATGACACACCTGATAATCATGATAATAGCAGTAGTAATATTATCACTTCACTCGTAATAATAAAAGAAAAGAAAATGATGATCAAGATAACAATGAGGATAATATAATAATGATTAGCAGCAGCAGCACCAGCAGCACCAGTATGTATTTGTGTATGTATATATGTATGTAAGTGTGTATATGCATGTGGTATATATGTACGTATGTATATATATATATATTTATATATATATATATATATATATATATATATATATATATGTGTGTGTGTGTGTGTGTGTGTGTGTGTGTGTGTGTGTGTGTGTGTGTGTGGCGCGTGTGTGTATTTGTGTTTCATGAGTGTTGCATCAGTATGTTGTATGTATATACGAGAGGTAAAATGCAAAAAGCTAAAAGCAGCAACGAAACGTTGAGCTATCATGAAGACCAAAGTTACTTCTTAAGTCTTCCCAGTTAAGACATTATAATATTATTATTACTTTTTTTTTTAATAGATAAGAACATTAGGACACAGGACCCCCAAAAAAGAAAAAAGATTAGGATATCCTTTGCTATTAACATTTAATGTTTTGAACTCCTCCTTTTTTTCTATTTACCCTTCCCCTCCCCATGACCTCTTCCCCACTCCCACTTCTCCCCTATCTATCTCTCTCACCCTCTCCCCTTCTCTCTCTTTCTCTCACAGTCTCTCTCTCTCTCTCTCTCTCTCTCTCTCTCTCTCACTTTCTCTCACAGTCTCTCTCACTCTCTCTCTCTCTCTCTCTCTCTCTCTCTCTCTCTCTCTCTCAGTCTCTCTCAGTCTCTACCCCTCTCCTCCTCTCTTCCATCTCAGTTTCCCTCTCTCTCTCTCTCTCTCTCTCTCTCTCTCTCTCTCTCTCTCTCTCTCTCTCTCTCTCTCTCTCTCATTTTACTTTATGGCGGTCCTTCATACTTCTCGACGGTAAATTACATATACTAACAATCGTATTGTCAAAGGAGGTAGGCAAAAAGCCCTCTCCTTTCAAAAAGCTTCTTTCGATTCAGCCCTTGCATCACTTTCTCCATCCTAGTCCGCTGCTGTGTCACGCCTGAACCTTTAGTAGAAAAGACCTGGAAATAATTAGAGAAAATAAGGAATGTCATTTGGAAAAAAAATAGCATAAAGACGAAAGCTCGAAATTTTAAACAAATCTAACACGGAATATTTCTCTGGTATTTCACTTTGCATATCTATCTATCTATCTATCTATCTATCTATCTATCTATCTATCTATCTATCTATCTATCTATCTATCTATCTATCTATCTATCTATCTATCTATCTATCTATCTATCTATCTATCTATCTATCTATCTATCTATCTATCTATCAATCAATCTATCTATCTATCTATATATATA